ATTAAAATATTCTATCATTGTCGTGTGTCTTGAAAAAAGCTTTCTAAAAAACTTAAGCATTGTCAATTTGTGATGCTCTAGTGGACTCTTATGTAGATTTATTATTGGGCTGTTTTAATCGGTTATTGGTTTGTTTAATTTAGTTTAATCAGTTTTTGATTTCTTAAATTTTAACTTATATGTGTATTTGGTTATTAGACAATTTTGGTACAACTTAATGTCACAAGTAATAACAAGTTTCCACATAAATGTTGTATGCTTTAAGTTATGGTTCATGAACAATTAAAATAAACGAATTATGATTTGTTTTTTTTAAAGGTTAATTAATATTGTGAAGCCATGATTATTAATATAAAAATATAATAATAATCTTTGAGACATAAAATATCGAATGAGATTATGATATTAACTAGTTGTGAGACCCGTATAACATACAGGTCCGATAAAGCAAAAAATTAAATATGAATCTTTAAACAAAAACTTATTTAAATTTGAAATTTAAAATTTAAAATTTAAATTTAAAAGGAAACATATTAAAATATTATATTAGTAGTAATATTGTAATTTATTAGTTATTTTCAATTAATGCAATAATTAATTGAGATGTAAATATGATGTATTAACTTAGAAACAATTAAAAAAATAAGAAAATTACAAATGAAAAAACATTTATTAAAAAATAACAAAAAATAACATTTGTCAAAGTTAATAAAAGAGTGACACGTGACAAAAAGATCTTTATTTGTTAGAGAGGATTCTCAATTCACAAATCACCTATAGAGCTATATGAGCTATATGGCATATCCATCTTCCAACCTCTTAAATGTAAAGGACATGGCAACATTAAATAACAAGTTTTAATATTTACAATCTTTAATTAATACTGCAAATAAATCATACAACAATATCAATAAACACCTAATCTATTGCCTTAGAGACGACAAGCTAATATTTAAAATTGGAAACAGATTTTGTAAGATATGAATGTGAAAACTAAATAGTTATAAAAAGGTTATATCCTTAATTGGTTTATTCTGTTAAACATAGAAATATAAATCATAAACCAAAAAATGTACTCTTAGATAATCGGTTAAACCCAAAAAACCGATTATGCTTGACTGAATAACATGTATCTTAATTGATTCAGTCAGTTTATTTATTTCAGTTTTTTTCAACACCCTGTCCTAGTGGTATGTATGATTAGAAATTCTATATATACATGACATATCATATAGAAGAATATGAGTAAGTATTTAGAAAAGAATTTTAATCGAGTTAATCCAACATTTCTTTTCTTACGTTATCTCAAACCACGTATATATCAAGAAGAATACTGGTAATTGGTAAATATTTAGGTTACATTATTTACTTATTATTTAATATTGTTATTCGTTTTTAATGAATAGGATTCTTCTGTTATATACTCGTTTGGTATGATATAATCCTCTACTCAGATAATTAAAACTTACATACATCGATGGTTCACATTCCTTCCTCACAGGAAGTAGCAACGGAAAAGGGTTTTTCCGGTGACAAAGAGACGATCAAGGAGTACGGGGTTGTGTTATCTAGCGTTCAGAAGACGTTAGCGGTGGAGAAGGACGGCGGTAGGTGGGAAGAGCTGTTTCCTGATATTCTGGCATCGATTTTCTTAAGGATACCACAGAAAGACATGCTGAGATGTATTCCGCTCGTGTGTAAGTCATGGATGAAGGTTTCGATGGGGCCATACTGTTGGCAGGATATCAGTTTGCAGACATGGTGTCTGCAACACAAACTCAGTCGAGGTGCAATTGACTCGATGGTGAAGAAGCTCATTCGACAAAGTGAGTGGAATGTTCGACGATTTTCTGCTTTCCAGATGGGAGAATCCGGATTCTCATCTGTCGTTAAGTGGTATGTATAATGTATTAATGTTTTATATAAATGGTTTTGATCATTCGCTCTTAACCCTTTTGTTTCTTGTAGTGGAAGATCTTTGGAAACGCTGGATATTCAGTTTTGTCGTTTAAGCGATGATATGGTGTTGAAGCATTTAAAGCCACTTCCAAATCTTAGAGTCTTGGATATTAGCTATTGCCGAAAGTTCACAGCCAAAAGTCTTGTAGCGTTTGGTAATCAATGCACGTCTTTGATTCACTTGAAGAGAGACAATTACCCAACGAAAGAGTTCCCAGCTATGGATGATTCCGAAGCCAAAGCCATTGCGGACAACATGCCGAAACTACAACATCTGAAACTTTGGTTTGGGCGATTTGGTGATTCGGGTCTTTGTGAAATCGTTAGTAAATGTAAGTATCTTAAGCATCTTGACATTCGTGCATGTTGGAATGTGAAATTGGAGGGTGATCTTAAGAAGATGTGTCAAAAGCTTGAGTGTTTCCGGATCCACGATTGCAAGTTTATTGAGAGTGATCTATATGACATGATTTTCCCCAATGGGCTCGGATACAAGGATCCTTTCACACGATTAGAAGCTCGCAGTAACCGAATTTATTGATACTTAATATTTTATAAAGGGTCTTTATTATTATTTTAAATTAAGACAAAATTGCAAAAATGGTCCATATGCAAAATTTTGGGGTCTTAGTCCGAATCCCGAGTTATTTGTATTCATGGTCCTTTTAGAGTGAGTTGTATGTGGAATTGGTCTCCGGACTTAACTTCCGTTTAACTTGATGCTATTAACAACCTCATGTGCCTCTCACACGAGGGTATATTTGTCTTTTTTACTTCTAAGAGACAATTTTTGCATTGAAAAAAAGTATATCACTCTTTAAAAAAAAAAGAAATTAATACCTATTTATTTATTTCAGCTTCTAAGAGAAGCTGAAATCACGAATGGAAGGTTGTGATCAGGAAGCTCCGATGGTGGAGTGTGGTTCTGCAGTAGTTAAGCAGTCACAAGGGGGGAAAGGCGGAGGTAGCTAGTTTACCGGTTCTTCTTCCTCTCGTTTCATAGAAGCCAAAATCAAGGACCACTGCAAACGAGAGGATTTTTTGAGTTGTTGATTGACAGGGAAGAATGAGGGAGGAAAGAGAGAAAATGAAATTGGGGTGGCAACCTTGGTTTGTCGGATTCTTTCCTCGCCGAAGATGTAAAGGAAGAGAGATTAGCTGGTGGGTACGTTTGGGGTTGTGCTCGACGGTAAAATGGTGGAGAAGAGGTGGAGGGCAGCCGGTGGGTAAAATCTAAAGGGCAGAAACACTTTATTTTCTTCATTGCGCATCCGGTGAAACAAGGGGACGAGAGAGAGAGAGAGAGAGAGAGAGAGAGAGAGAGAGAGAGAGAGAGAGAGAGAGAGAGAGAGAGAGAGAGAGAGAGCTTTTTATTTTTTAATTATAAAAATAAATAAACACATATTAATTTTAAAGCAAAAAAGAAATATATTTTTTCAGTGCAAAAATGGTCCCTTAGAAGTGAGAAGACAAATATACCCTCATGTGAGAGGCACATGAAGGGGTTAACAACAACAAGTTAAAGAAAGTTAAGTTTGGGGACCAATTCCAAATACAAACCACTCTAAAAGGACCATGAATCTAAAAAACTCGGAGTTTGGACTAAAACTCCAAAATTTTACATACCATAGGGATTATTTTTGCAATTTTGTCTAAATTAATTTTAAAAATAGTTTTAGCAAAATGTGGTTAGAAGTTTAAACTGCGTGTATCAAATTGATGTTTCCCTGACCCATTTGATATTACGGGCGTGTTCGGTATAGAACGTTTGAAAGCTTCTAGTTTCTAACGTTTGACAAAACGGTCCGTTTTAAACAAAAAATCTCGTTCGGTATTACAAACTTCTAGCGTTAAGTTTAAACAAAACGTTCTGAATCCAAAAGTTCTCATGTAACGTTTTCCTGAACATGCTCTACATATTACATTTTTATTCACATTGGAGTCTGTGTCAATTTGTTTTTGTTTTTTACGGGTCAATGTGATAACATTAGACTCCGAGCAATTTGGTAATTACCCTATGATAGAATCTTTTATCATAACTTATTATTACTTTTTAAAATATTAATTAATAATGAAAACATCAATAAAAACATTTATTTGCAAATATTAAATATAATTAATATAATCTATAAAAAAACGTCCACGAAGTCAACCCATTAAAACTTTTAATGATAAATCAGTTTTTACTAAAATCACCCTTACATAATTTCCTATAATATTATTATCAGAGTTATTCGTTAGAAAATCATAAAAAACATCAAAGTACTATGTCACTAAAGTTTTCCAAAAGGGAAGTGATTCGTACACTACACTTTTCTCTGTACATAACAATTTGTGTTTTAAAGTGTTGTATTGTATAACTCTATAACTTATAAATAATTGTGTACGTTAAAAACTTGTTGTATAGGATCACTTCGTTTTCCAACATGTCATTAGAATATTATTTTTTGAAACATATAATATAGTTGAAAACTTTAAGAGTCTTCCGACTTGCATGTAAATCATAGCAGTAGTCCAACCATGTTTATTACCTAAAAAATATTAATAAGCAACCGGTAAACTTAAAAGTTAGTGATTTAACACTATATTCAATCATTTTATTAATCATGTAATTCATGTAGCATATCATTCACATAAAATTTATATACCATATTCGTTCCTAAAACATATTGTTGGTACAATCTAATTTTCTGTTCAGTCACGCGTATCTATGAACATGAACCATATTTTATTCCCTCTTTTCCGAGAACAAGCCCATATCAACCCTTTTCCGGGAATAAGATAATATTACAAATAATTACATACTCCCCAAATTCGGCTTGGTGGAATGACGGTAATGGTGACTCCCTTATGCAATCCGATGATGGCGAATATTCAATGTCGGAGTTATCTCCGGCGGAATCTGTCAGAAGTTTCCGATCAGAAGCTAGAGAGACGCATGTCAGTATCTCATCGCCAATTCCTATGAAGTCGCCTCGTCTTCCCAAAGCGGCTAATTTTTGGGCTGATAAGGAATCGCCATCTCAAAAGCAAAAAAGTCATAAGTCTAGCCAGACCCATTCCCATATGGAGCATGAAAGTAGTTGGGCTAAATCCTCCCCAAGAAATAGGCGGTCCAATACGGGGCCCAATAAATCCATAGATCTAAACTGTGATCCATCTCTTTCTGTTTCTCCAAGAAAATCAATGAATTCAGGTGAGGAAAATACGTCACCGCCAGAGCCCCCACATTCAGGTCACCAAAGTGTATCTCTCGACTCCTTCTCCGCCCCTCTCGCTCCCCCCTCGCCACGGATGGATGGGTCTCATGTTAGGTCACCGGAGCTTCATGAATCTTCCCCCAAGGCAGCCTCGCAGTCTACATCTATGGAAGTTTCTAAGACAATTGATATTGGGGAAAAAGTGGGATTCCAGATAAGAGGCAGGGAAGAACAATTGAGGCAAATGATCAAGAACCGTGGAGTGATTATTGTGGACCAATGAATATTTTTTCGAATAATATCCGTGGAATTGGGTGTGAGGTAAAAAGGGAATGGTTAAAAAATTCGCGCATTCAATATAAGTCGGTCTTTGTCGGTTTGCAGGAAACGAAGTCATCTGAGGTTAAGGGGGGTCTCGATAAGTACATCTGGGGTCCTGGAAATTTTCAAAGTGAAGTGGTAGATCCTAGGGGCCTCTCCGGTGGTATTGCTTCCCTTTGGGATCCTTCTGTATTCAGTGCAGTGGAATCAATTAAAGGGGTTGGATTCCTATGTATTAAAGGTTTGTGGCTCAAAACCAAGAAAAATGTTTGTTTTGTAAATGTTTATGCTCCTCAGGATCCTTCCGAAAAAAAGTTACTGTGGAACAAGCTAATTGACCTTTCTAATTCGGATCCAAATGATTGCTGGTTTGTCTTTGGAGACTTTAATGTTGTTCGTTCTCCTGAAGAGAGGTTGGGCTCTATATTCTATCCACAAGGAGCTTATTTCTTCAATAAGTTTATTTTTTCAGCTGGGTTGCTGGAAATTAAAATGGGTGGCCGTCGATACACATATATGAACTCTAAGGGGGATAAACATAGCAAGCTAGACAGGTATCTTGTTTCTCCAAATGTAGTAGACACTTGGCCGCATTTAAATGTCACCACCCTTCCACGCGTTCATTCTGATCACTGTGCAATAATATTATCCTCAAATCAGATTGATTTTGGTCCCTATCCTTTCCGATTCTTTAACTCGTGGCTAAATGACCCAAAGCTGGAGTTGATTATTAAGAATGGATGGTCCCTGAGTTCCAATTCCGGACTTAATAAAATTGTCTCCCCAATTTCTGTGGTTGCTTGCAAACTTAAGAATTTAAAGGAACATATAAAAGCATGGAGGAAAGAGGTCGTTGAAGCAAATAAAAAGGAAATAGATGAGCTCACAAATACAATCAACTCCATCGACCTTCTTGCTGAATCTGGTCCTGTGCTTGAGGATTTATTAAAGAACAGGGAGTATGCACACCAAAAAATAATTAAGGTTGAGTCTAGGCGCATTGAGGATCTTAGACAAAAATCCCGAATCCGATGGGCGTTAGAGGGTGATGAAAACAACAAATTCTTTCATGGTGTTATAAACAATCATCTTAGGTCTCAAAGAATAAACGGTATCAAAGAGAATGGTTTCTGGATTAATGACCCGGTATTGATCAAGCAAATTGTAATTAGTCACTTCTCGAGGCGTTTTGCCGAGCCAATCTGAGATAGGCCGAGATTTTGCAGTTCCCTGTTCAGAAAATTGCCCTTATCCATGGCTAACTCTCTTGAGGCCCCTTTCTCCTTAGATGAGATTAAAGCAGCAATCTGGGCATGTGGCTCGGATAGAGCCCCTGGACCTGATGGGTTCTCGTTTGCTTTATTGAAAAAGCATTGGGGTGTGATTGGAAACGACTTCTACTTTGCAGTAAAACATTTTGAAGCCACAGGGGTCATCGACAAGGGCTGTAATGCCTCTTTCATCACCCTCATTCCAAAGGTCCAAGACCCAATATCGATGTGTGATTTCAGGCCCATTAGCTTAATTGGATGTCTATATAAAACCATTTCAAAGATCCTTGCGGAAAGAATTAAGATGGTGATTCATTTGGTAGTTAGTCCAGTGCAGACGACTTTTATTAAGAATAGATTCATCCTGGATGGTCCTCTAATCCTAAATGAAGTTATCACTTGGTTGAAAAAGAATAAGAAGGTGGCTTTTGCATTCAAAGTGGACTTTGAGAAAGCTTTCGACTGCCTCAGCTGGGAGTACCTGGATTCGATTTTGGAGCAAATGGAATTCGGGGGCAAATGGCGGTCTTGGATCCATGGTTGTCTTTCTTCTGCTAGAGTTTCGGTTCTAATAAATGGGTCGGCTACTTCTGAATTTTGTATGGAGCGTGGTATCAGGCAAGGTGACCCTCTATCTCCGTTCCTTTTCATCATCGCGGCTGAAGGGTTAAACATCGCCTTGGAAATGGCAAAACAATCCGGGGTTTTTACCGGTATCCAACTGCCTAGACAAGGTCCAACCATCTCTC